CCCCCCGCCCCACTCAGACCCCATGGGTTACCCTGCACTGCTGGCACAGGGAAAAAAAGCTGCTTTTGGAGGGCAGCCCCAGTGAGCTGCAGAAAAAGAGACTGGTGGTCCCCTCGCATCTGAGCAGCCCTTATAAAGAGCAGGGGAATAAAATGCCTGTTTTTTCCTATTATTAGCCAGCTGCTGTCCTTCCAGAGCTTCGGTCGCCATCAGTCCCATCACTCATGTCTGATGGGACCATAAACCAGGCTGTTTATTCAAGCCATAAGCTACCTTGCAAAAAAATCCAAACCCACAGCTCCTGAAAGCAAGCAAAGGCAGAAAATGAGTCCAAGGGAAAGCCCAACCCCGGAACCCAGGAGGCGAGCACATGCATCCTGCCTGGGTCCCTGCCTACACTGCTGGCCATGAGATGGTGGGAGCTACTGCCCATCCTGGGGCTCCAGACTTCTGGTGGGACCCTGCTGCAGTGCCAGGCACAGCAAGGGTAGCTCCTGCCACCACATCTAATAAGAAAATTGTGGGGTTTATCTTCTTCCCCACCAGATACTGCTGAAAGGCTGCAATGCCAAGCATGGTTTCTACATTTTCAAATATGTCTACTCATTTTCAACGCGGAGGAACCAGACACAGATAAAGGTGAGGAGACAGCCAGGCAGAATGGCAGGACCTTGGCTTGGCTGCGGTGCCCCACGCAGCAGGCAGGCACCAGGGCTGACCCTGACCTCTCTCTTGTGTCTACTGCACAGAAGGAAGAGGCCGATAGCCAGAGAGTCATCCCTGGCCACCAGCTGGGTGAGGACAATGCCAGGCTGGGGCCAATGGAGCATGGGGCAGCCCCGGAGCAAGGTGACAATGACAGCACTGATGTGATGGAGAACAGGATCAGCCTCAAACCTGAAAACCGCAGCACCCCAGGTGGTGGTGATGCTCACAGTCCTCACCCAGTCACTGGCACGCGAGCGCGCGGTGGTGTTGGCATCGCAAGTCCCACCCCAGCCAGCTCAGAGGGCAGCGGTGACTTGGATTTAGTGGTTGAAGTCAATGGTGGTGTTTCCATTCTCCTGCAGGGCCCCAGAGAGGTTGTGGCAGGGAACAGATCTGATGTCAGAAGTGAGGACAGGGACGATGGTGCCCCTGGGGGGATTCCAATGGAGGGGGCCATGACAGACGGGAGGGAGAGGGACCCTGCCACTGGAGGAGCTGTGGACGAGGGTAGCGGTGAGGCCACTGTCCCTGGCCAAGGGCAGGAAGGCATCATGCGGGGCACAGGGGCAGGAGGCGCTGCTCTCACCTCTGTCACCGAGAATATGGAGGACATACAAGTTGACACCAAAGGTGTGGATGAATATGCTTACATCCCCGACTCAGGCAGTGTCACCATCACTCGTGGGAAGGTGGGCAGCACCAGCTTAACCCAAATATCTCCAGACAAGGATGACGAAGTCAACATTTTCATTGGGAGGGCGAACATCCACGTGGGGGAGCAAGAAACTACCCAGGCCAGTGCCACTGTTGGCAGTGAGGATGACAGCATCTCTACTGCAGGAACCAGCAGCCCCCTACCCAAGCTGGGCATCACTGCGGCATACGATAGTGTCGATGATGATGGTATCTCTGCTCGCAAGCAGCCTGAAGGACTGGCCACCACAGCCACCTCGAGCCATGGGGACAGTGTCACCAGCAGCCCCGGGGATGACCATCCCACAGGAGACAATGAAGATGGTGCTACCACCGTTGGTGATGGAGAAGGACCAGTGGCCCCCAGCTCCTGGAGGGTTGCTGGTGGGGGCATTACTATCCCAGCGGGGGCTGGCATCCGTGAGAAAGGCGATGATGAGGCAAGAGGTGAGGGGCAGAGGTTCGAGGGGAGGCCGGGCCGCCCGGCTGCCACCACCCCCCGACAGGGGGGTGACAAGGAGGCTGCTGCCACTGTCCCAGACAAGGAGGCCAGCATCCGCCTGGGCATCACCGTGGCCTCCCCCGGGGTGGGTGAGGGGGACTGCACCACTGCTCTGGGGATGGCCAGTGGCCGCAAGGCAGAGGAGAGTGCCATGGCGGGGAGAGGT